GGTGTTTATAGAAGAAGCCTAAGCATTTTTCGAGCCGTCACTTTTATTGAACAGATCAGGCGTTAAAATGTTTCAAAATATAATTTGTGAACGTTGTAAAGACTAATTAATCAGATAGTTATGAACCATTTACAGAGAAACAATATATTCCGTCTTTGCGTATTGCAGAGTTATCTTCTCTTGAGAGCAGGTATTGATTGTAACGTCATTGGTTTGTGTGAGAAAATTACGTCGTTTTCTCAAAGAATTATGACGTTACTCTCACAAACAAATGACGTTACAATCAATAACTGCTCTCAAGAGAAGATAACTCTGCAATACGCAAAGACGGAATATATAAGGAAACATTTTCTATTTTGGTCAGGTTATGTGGGGATAACTCCACTTGAGCACATCTCTTCTCAACTTGCACATTCTAACTTGTAGTTATCACCTCATAACCTGACCACAATAACAAGTTTTTCATTAAATGATTAAAATAGGAGCATGACTTTTATTTAAATTCGGATCGATTGGTCCTCTATCAAAACGTCAAGTATAAAATACAGTTAGTTGTACATAATACTTGTATGTTGTACCTGTTATAAAGAAATACACATTGAGATTTAAAAGGTGTTTAATACTTGACATGAGAAAAAATATTAGGTACTTAGATAAAGTACATTCACTTATTTATAAACTTGTTTAACTTATGTAAAACATATTGTACTTGTTTACCTAAAATTCAATATATGTCTGTATATGTTTCAATAAAGTAAAAAATCCTGTACTCGTTTGAATAATAAAAATGTCATGCAGATCTACTTGTTTGTTCCACTTATAAAATGTCCTGTACATGTTTAACTAATACTTAAGTATATAATGCGAGGAACTAAATTACAAGATATAAAACGCCTCGTCCTTGTTTCAATGAAATATATTTTCATACCAGTTTATCTGAAATAGAAAGTCCTGTATTTACCCGATTCGAAAGCGGTGACGGACAATTAAATATATTTTTTTATACCAGTTAATCTGAAATAAAAAGTCCTGTATTTATTTACCTGATTCGAAAGTGATTCCGGAACATTAAATAAGAAAAGATCACTCAGGAGGTGAGTGTAGGTATCAGACGGGGGTCCAACCCTTGTATTCATCTCGTCCTTCTTTATGTATCTAACTGGGATTTCTTCTTCCTCTAGTACCTGGGCATACATCAACATCAGCACAAATTTGCCGGATTTATCCATGTACCTGATCAGATAGACCACGTAGGTACAAATGATGATAAAATAAAGATAATACAACATGAATAATTTATCTTCATAATCAGGAAAACTCAAAACATGAACAGAGACGAGGGGGGCATCAGCTGAATACTCTATATGACCCTATACTGACGTTACAGGAGGGGGAGCTAGATCTACGCATACCAGTAACCTATTCAATACAGTGTGTATACGCTATCGGTCGATAGGCGAAACGTCCCGGGTCGAGTGACATAAGAAATATACAATTTCGTCACATCGTTGTATAGGTAAATCATACAAATCGCTCACTCAGTCAAGAAAGAGTCTCTCCAAATGTTTGGCTTTTATTCTACATCTATACATATAAACAATATTAGGAGACCGAAAAGACATTACTTTTACCAAGGTTTGTCCCGAAATTAACAAAATACATGATTATTCTAACACCCTGGTGAATGGGCCGATAAAGGTTGCCCCTTCCGTTTTACGTCATCTCTGCCGCGGCTACCAGAGCTGGGTTTGGTTGTAAAGTCAATTTTGTTTAATACATTATAAACCTATCTTATTTACTACTGGGGATTACTTATAAAGATTATATATATATTGATAAGAATGTGCAAGCTTCGTTGATCACTATACAATGCAAAAAAACAATAAAGTGTAAAACATTTACATTTCTATTGTAAAATATTCGGGTCTTTCCGTCATACTGTTTGAGTAATCGGTGACCAATCACGGCGTGACGTCCAATTCGAAGTCTGACGAAAATTCCCGAATGGTTCCGATTAACATTAAGAGAGAGAATCCGTGCGGCGTCACACAATGTTTATGCTTTGATATAGCTAATTAGAATTATCTTGATGCGTTCACGTAACTAGCCAGTTAAAGGAAAATGTTTTGCTAAAATGGAAAGATAATAAAATCACTACTTCTACTAGTATGCAGCAATGAGGACTAATGAATAATGTCCAAGTATAGTATCAATTCAACCTCCGTTTTTGCTGAATTATTATTATTATTATAACTTACAGGTAGTGAGATTCTGACTCGAGAAGTCGGGATATACAGCGTAGCTCCCTAGATTTGATGATTTTTGCTGTCCAGATCAGACATCCTTTCACAAACTGTGCTTGTGTGAAGAAATCCTCTTTAACAAGGCTCACCATCTTCTGTTGTAGCTTCGTTAGCTGCGATGAAAAATAATCACATGTGATTTATTGTCAGTGACTTAGGGACGATTTGATTTTACAATTTTGACACACATTTGCAGCACTTGAATCAAATGTACAGGCAAAATTCGACACGAGGATTTCTCCCTATTAATATAGCGAACAAGTGTGAAATTCGCCCACCAGTATAATTTAGAATGTTCATGAACATCAGCAAAATAGCATCTATGCATATTTCGATTTTGTAATAGATATTAAACTCATCAAATAAATTTTGAATACTGGCAGGATGCAAATTCGTCCCGTTTTTAGTTAAAGTGAAAATAGTAAAATACATCTACTATAGCGTGAACACACTATAGCGTGAACACACAGAAACCGGAACATAAGTCGATAACATACACAACAACATGAAAACATACTGAAAGATATAAGAAACATATCTTTGAGAGATAATACGTGTTCCGCATGAGTATGCACTCTATAAGGAACCCGTGGCAATGCCTTCGTTCTAATCGAGATAGAAAAAATATTGATATATAATAATAACAATAATAATAATTCGGTCACGAGCCCGGCGTCCTACCACTGGACTACCGTGCCTCCAGACCACCGGTAATACAAGCCACTTAATTATTAACTACGAATGACCCTGAAATATCTTACCGTATAGCAGGGTATCCGTGGGGATGATATTTTAGAGATTTCGCGGGTCAATATGTTATCGCAAAAATATGATCCGCGGAATAATATGACAAGCGTAATAATTAACCGCGATCATAAGCTTCATAACCGAAATGTCGCCATGAAAAGGCGCGCATATGGCTGTGACGGGTCATATACATTAAGAGTAATATAACATAAACTTTCTTTAGTTTACAACCATTATGAAACAAGTTATTTCAACTTATATAAATTACTCTTGTTGGCCGGGATGTTGGCGCACGGGGATATTAATGTGGGAGGAAACCGGAGTACCCGGAGAAAACCCTCTTGGTCCGGCAGGTGATACCATACATTTTCGCGTCCGATCGGGGAATCGAACCCCGGCCACATTGGTGAAAGGCAAGTGCGCTATCCACTGCGCCACCCGACCACCCAAGAGTGATGATGCTTGAAAATAAGCAATATCGCACATCTAAATGTTTTGTTGCTGATCTTTTTGAAAAAATACACTTATTTTTTGCTGTTCAATATGCTGTTATAAAGCATATTCATTGGGGTATTTGACACTTTCTGTGCTGAGTGTCCCGTCTCTGTGCTAAGACAGCACAGAAATGTATTTCCTTCCCATGGTTAGATCACTAAATTATAATCCGTGTAAATTTGTTTTCTTATTCTTATGGGTAAACTCGCTTAAAAAAATAAACCCCGCTTAAATAACCTACTATATTGTGGTAAGAAATCAGGTCATAATGACGGCAAGCGTAATTTGAAACATCTCTGGTAGAACCCTTTGGCTCCTATATTTACTAGTAAAAAGGACGCACCTATTCATATATATAGAAAATAAATGTTCTGATTTAATTCAATTAGTGTTTCAATTATATTTTTAAATAACAATATCTAGTCGTTACATGACGGAAAGAATAAACTAATATTGTTATAATGAAAGTAAGTGTTACCTTTTCATCCATGGGATCCGTTTCGGCTGAAATATACATATGATTTATTTGTTAGAAATGCATAATACATGTAAAAGAAACAAATGTTTCGTCTTTCTATCTAATAATTTATATACCTACGTGTATAAAACACAAAATTAAAGTACTTATATTTGATGACATCTTGACTGAAAGAATATGTGTATAATATCTTAGTTGTAAGAAAACGTATAAGAATATCTTGACTATAAGAATACTTGCACGCCCTGACAGTTAGAGTACAAGTATAATACATGCGTGATACTTTGACTATACGAGTATAATATCTTAACTGTAAATGTACATGCATGCTATCATGACTGTTACAGTACTAAAATACGTGTATGCTATCTTAATTATACGAGTATTATACCTTGACTGTAAGAGTACAAGAGTACACGAATAATATTTTGACTATACGAGCAGGTTATTTTGACTAAACGTGTATAGAGTACAGGGGTACGTGTATGATATCTTAAATGTAAGAGTATAAGTATTTGTATGATGTATTAACTGTATATGTACGTGACTTATGATATCTTGACTAAACGAGTATGACATCCTGACTGTTTTCATTTCACAAAAATGATATTGAATATTGCATCTTATTCAAATTCAAAAGGAATTGGGCAACAGGCGCAATATCTATACAAACCCTCTCCTATGGTATGGACAATGTATATTATAATATATTTATTATGAAATAATTTAAAATATCTTGACTGTTCGAGTACAAGAGTACGTGTATAATATATTGACATTACGGGTATGCAATCATGACAGTAAGAGTCCCAGCACGTGTATCAGGTCCAGACTATACGAGTAGGATATCTTGAATGTACGAGTAGGATATTATGACTGTTAAAGAGTACTTCAATGATGCCTTAACTGTTAACGACATATAATATCGTGACTGGCAGACTCATAATTGGTCTCTAAATGAGATAAATACCTTCTTTGATGTCCCCGACAGGATGAACTTTGGACACGGTTAATACCTGCGCGATGGTGTCAAACTTGTTCCAGAAATGTTCATTTAGTCGTTTATCAAACCTATATTCTCCTGGTTTAGTGATAATATTAGTTGCGTCCGAAAATGCAAAGTTCAATGTACTGATGAATAAATTGATGGTCACCATGGTTATCATCACAGTAAAAAGTGCAAAAATACAGATGATGCCTACATCCTCTACATGCACATCCTGGCGGAAACTGACCATCCCTATGGTTACCCGGAACAGCGACATCATAGAGGTTCCTATGGAGTGAAACTCCTCTTCCGCATTGCCGTACATGAGGTTTATGAGTAATGCGAAAGAAAATACCAGGACACAAAGGATGAAAACGAATCCGGCAATTTTATGCCTGGCTATGATGAATGTCGTTCTCATTAAATGCATGTAGTAGTTAAAGGAGAGAGGCTTCAGTAATTCAAGCGTTGCTATGAAGCAGACGGCACTGATACTCGCCTTGTACCATTCATCCATCATATTCACTGTCTCAAACGACACGAACGAACCTGTAGAGGGAAAACAGAAACACGAATTATTTGAATACAACCAAACTGGGAAACGGTATCGTTCAAACTTTCTAACATATATTTAATTCCTTGCATGTGGTATACATGTAGTATAGGTGGAGTGTTATGGGGTCTTATGAACAAAAATGGTGTTTCTCTTAAAAAATAAAATTTCCGACGAATCATTTGCGATAAAATACTTCATCATGCTGTATTACAGATATGAGTTAAAGCTACGTATTTGTAATACGAAAAAAAAGTCATAACATTTATTTCGATAATTAAATAGATCATTGTGTACTTCTAAAGTGCAATAAACTCACCAAGGTTCTTGAAAATTTTCTCTATCGCTGTGATGGTTTCGTCAACTCTAATGCAGAAGAAGACAATAGCACAAATTCCGAATGCAACTTCAAATACACTGACCCATCCCATAACTGTCAGAAAATGCCCACATCTGCTCCGGAGTGCTCGCACAAATATTAAAACAAGTTTGATGAATATTATCAATATAAAGATAACTTGTAATCCAAGCACCAAATAGTCAATTGATTCTTGAAAAGGGTACAAATTAGCTGTGGTGATCCTATGCAAAATGCTGATTTCTCCGAAGGAGGACAGTTCGAAAACAACTTTGACGTGGGAGAAAAGCTTTGAATCAGGATTATAAAGCATAGATTCGATGAACACCGCCCTGGTGTACTCGTCAATCCAATTGTTGTTTTTGAGAGTTTCTATGTAAAGAAGTGCAATTGACTGTTTGGGTCCTAGGTCCAAGAAGTAACCCCCTCCGCCGTAGGTTCCATACGTCCCCCTGTAATCCATAGCCTTTGTCACAGATGCGTTGTTATATAGAAAAGCATAATCCGTTTCCTCATTCTCGTCAAAACATGTCAGATTGGTCGGTGTCCATCCTGTATTTAAGTGTTCAATACAAAACAGAAAAAAATCACAGTGTTAACACAAAATTGCAAATATGCTTAGTATACTTGCAGTATAATTGAAGATTATTGGACGGTTGTAGCTCAGGGAACAATACAGCCTATAACATATCGCGAGGCTTTTCACATTATTCATTCTTACGTTATTCAATACTCGATTTTCTTTGCCGCTTGTACATATACTTTGGTTCGTTCACACACACCCTGTTATTCCCATCACTGACAATGATTTGCAGTAATGTTGAGAGGATGGGAGACAAGCACAAACATTCCCGAAATAGATTTTAAGTCTTTTGACTTGTTGTAAAGTAGATATGTTTGTTTTTCTTATAAATTATTTACATTTAAAACATCATTCTAAATTATCAATTTTCTGATAATTTTAAAGGAAATTGTAATCAATAATCGAAAGCATTGCAGTACGGTAGATACATTTTACAAAGCTTATGATTTCGCGTCATATATATTTGTTACATCAACCTTGTAGAGATTTGAACAAAATATACCTATCATGGAATAATTTAATCTTTCTTGTGACAAGCATTTTCATTTGCCTATCAAACCATAACGTAAAAAAAAGGACGTCGCCGTTTGTAACGTCGCTTTTGATTTGTTGCTACAGCGGCGTAATAATTTCTAAGAGAAAACAGTCCATCAATAAAAGTGGTTTTCCACAGGGATTGTGTAGAGTAGATTAAATTATAAGGATTGACTTGAATCTATTTTTTATGTTATGGAGATATAAAATAAAAATCGGAATGTACTCTAAATAAACCGCGAAGCGGTTTATGATGAGAGTTCACTCCAGCTTTTTTGTTATAGCTATATAACATATAAAATAGATTCAAGTTTATCCTTAAATAATAGACACAACATCTGTATAACTCATAATATAGCACAATTCAATATATATGATATGAAATTGGGTGTATAATTTGGGTCAGAACTAAGGCTTTGCTGATATTCTGACAGTAACTTCTGCACCAAAGAACAGACTAGCCATATCCCACATAGCTACATACTAATTGACTCGTTTTTCTCCCACCTCTCAACCGAAATGGTGGTAAAACAGGACAAAGAAACTTCAAATACAGCAATCAATCGAAAAACTGTTCCGATAGTGTATACACAAACTAAGGCCATATTTAGAAAGAACAGAAAAAAGCATTTTAAAAGTAATTAAACCTCAAATTTAAAGATCCATGCAAAACTTTCAGGCCAAGATTGTATATCAATTCTTTTGTTCTTGAGGTGGTGTAGCTTGCCGAAGGCAATATTGCCAAAATCAGTCAAACGGCGTTTTGACGCTTTTTCTAGTGTGATGCCATTATAAAACGCCGTCATCTGATTTGCACGTCATATTAGTACAGGTCACATATACGTTCATCAATAGGGGAAACACGTATCCCACATGGAAGAATGTGTATCCTTCATATGCAGATGATGGGAGAACAAAATTCATCGTAAAACCTTTGTTAATTTTAAAACATAGATATGCACTATAGAATAACAGCTTTCACCTAATAAACTAATTATTCATAATATCATGAACCGTGCCACTACTAAAAACCTTATAGCTGTGGCCAAAAAAACCCCGAATACACATTCCCGAATTTACATTTGTTTTTTACCGAAAATGTACACGTTCAGTCATTTTGTTTTTCAATTTCGCCATTCTAAATACCGCATATGTCCAAATCTAATGTCATCGCCAATCTAAACACCGCATATCTCCGTGTCTTTTATCATCATCCTTCCAAACAACCCATGCCCAGATATGATGTCATCGGCGATCTAAACATATCATATGTACAGATCTTATGTCATCCCTTCGCCCATCTATCGATCCTATTTGTACAGATCTTATGTCAACCCATCACACATCTATCCATCCTATTTGTACAGATCTTATGTCAACCCATCGCACATCTATCCATCCCATATGTACAGATCTTATGTCATCCCATCCCCAGGCTATCCATCCCATATGTACAGATCTTATGTCATCCCATCGCACATTTATCCATCCCATATGTCCAGATCTTATGTCATCCCTTCGCACATATATCCATCCTATTTGTACAGATCTTATGTCATCCCATCGCACATTTATCCATCTCATATGAACAGATATTATGTCATCCCATCACACATCTATCCATCCCATATGTACACATCTTATGTCATCCCATCCCCATCTATCCATCCCATATGTACAGATCTTATGTCAACCCATCGCACATCTATCCATCCCACATGTACAGATATTATGTCATCCCATCGCCCATCTATCCATCCCATATGTACAGATCTTATGTCATCCCATCGCCCATCAATCCATCCCATATGTACAGATCTTATGTCAACCCATCGCACATCTATCCATCCCACATGTACAGATCTTATGTCATCCCTTCGCACATCTATCCATCCCACATGTACAGATCTTATGTCATCTCATCCCCATCTATCCATCTCATATGTGCACATCTTATGTCATCCCTTCGCACATCTATCCATCCCATATGTACAGATCTTATGTCATCCCATCCCCATCTATCCATCCCACATGTACAGATCTTATGTCATCCCATTCCATCATCCATCTCATATGTGCACATCTTATGCCATCCCTTCGCACATCTATCCATCCCATATGTACAGATCTTGTGTCATCCCATCCCCCATCTATCCATCCCACATGTACAGATCTTATGTCATCTCATCCCCATCTATCCATCTCATATGTGCACATCTTATGTCATCCCTTTGCACATCTATCCATCCCATATGTACAGATCTTATGGCATCTCATCCCCATCTATCCATCTCATATGTGCACATCTTATGCCATCGCTTCGCACATCTATCCATCCCATATGTACAGATCTTATGGCATCTCATCCCCATCTATCCATCTCATATGTGCACATCTTATGCCATCGCTTCGCACATCTATCCATCCCATATGTACAGATATTATGGCATCCCATCCCCCATCTATCCATCCCACAAGTAAAGATCTTATGTCATCCCATCCCCATCTATCCATCTCATATGTGCATATCTTATGTCATCCCTTCGCACATATATCCATCCCATATGTACAGATCTTATGTCATCCCATCCCCGATCTACCCATCCCATATGTCAAGTAATGATGTATTCGCCCATCCCATGTTCCTATGCCACCAGAGAAGAGAAGATGCAGAAACAAATATTTAAACAGGCTAACAATGTAAACTGGAAACAAGGATTGGTTCTAACCTTTGCAGTAGTCATCTGTTGCCTCCGTATTGTCGCCATAACTGACTGGACATCTGGTCACAGAACTCGTCATTACTTTTGGTATAAAGCACGGTTCTAAATAACAAAGAAATGGAAAACAAAAGTTATATAAAGTATTACTATATAATTAACAAGCAATTTATCAAACATTGGTTCCCGGATTGCATCGGATTGGATCCCTCATCCCAAAGTTAAAACTTGGGGTCAGCTACGATAGCACGCGATGGGACAAATGTGCTCACACCAAATACTTAACACAAAAAATAAATAATTATAAGACTCTTGTTAAAACGGGATAAGGTCGTGCCCCTGGGATGATGCGTCTTCATTATGCACTGTACTATTGATATGTCCCCTTAACCCTTTCACCTCTATGTAACTTTAATAATATCTACCATAAACGGTTCTTGATGATTCCATTATGGTCTACAGTGAGGAAATGGTTAATACAGTTCCCCTATCGTGATAATCATAGTAAATAAGTCCAATATGAGCTCATGAAATTCCAAAGCAGTGACATCACACAAAAGTTAATGTTCATTTAGACCTAAACTTGCATAAATATTAGGTAAAATACTATTACATATGATTTGTGAAAAGTGTCCTAAAGTCCTTTGAGGTAAAATTACTTACGTGAATTAAACCACGGCAATACGAAGGGTTGACTTTTTGGGGTCACACGGACCTGCCGTATCCTTGATAAACCCAACCGGAAGTGTTGGGTGTCATCAATGAACCGCAGGACGTATGATAAACGTACTTCGCCGTTTAGGTATATCTTTGGATATATCTTTGGAATAAATTTATTGGAAATCCAGTCCCAAATGTCTTCCGTTGAGTTCGGCTAGAATGAGAGACGTAATATTGAGTTATGGTCCAAGCAGGAAGATAACATTCTTTTGTTTTGAAAAAAAACCCACAATGATATAAGCTTTAGCTAGGCGAGCAATACATTTGAACATTTTCTTGTGTAAAAAGGGCAATGATATAAGTCTGGGCTAGGTTGGCAATCAAAGAAAGCATATAACGACATTGATATAAGTCTGGGCTAGGTTGGCAATATCAGAGAAAGCATATAAAGACATTGATATAAGTCTGGGCTAGGTTGGCAATCAAAGAAAGCATATACAGACAATGATATAAGTCTGGACTAGGTTGGCAATCGAAGAAACCATATAACGACATTGATATAAGACTGGACTAGGTTGGCAATCAAAGAAACCATATAACGGCATTGATATAAGTCTGGACTAGGTTGGAAATCAAAGAAAACATATAACGACATTGATATAAGTCTGGCCTAGGTTGGCAATCAAAGAAACCATATAACAACATTGATATAAGTCTGGACTAGGTTGGCAACCAAAGAAACCATATAACGACATTGATAGAAGTCTGGACTAGGTTGGCAATCAAAGAAACCATATAACGACATTGATATAGGTCTGGACTAGGTTGGCAATCAAAGAAACCATATAACGGCATTGATATAAGTCTGGACTAGGTTGGAAATATAAAAGAAAGCATATACAGACAATGATATAAGTCTGGACTAGGTTGGCAATATCACAGAATGCATAAACAGACAATGATATAAGTCTGGGCTAGGTTGGCAATACCAAAGAAAGCATATAAAGACATTTATATAAGTCTGGGCTAGGTTGGCAATATCAGAGAAAGCATATAAAGACATTGATATAAGTCTGGATTAGGTTGGCAATCAAAGAAAGCATATACAGACAATGATATAAGTCTGGACTAGGTTGGCAACCAAAGAAACCATATAACGACATTGATAGAAGTCTGGACTAGGTTGGCAATCAAAGGAACCATATAACGACATTGATATAAGTCTCGACTAGGTTGGCAATATCAAAGAAAGCATATACAGACAATGATATAAGTCTGGACTAGGTTGGCAATCAAAGAAACCATATAAAGACATTGATATAAGTCTGGACTAGGTTGGCAATATCACAGAAAGCATAAACAGACAATGATATAAGTCTGGGCTAGGTTGGCAATATCAAAGAAAGCATATAAAGACATTGATATAAGTCTGGGCTAGGTTGTCAATCAAAGAAAGCATATAAAGACATTGATATAAGTCTGGGCTAGGTTGGCAATGTCAAAGAGACCATATAAAGACATTGATATAAGTCTGGGCTAGGTTGGCAATGTCAAAGAGACCATATAAAGACATTGATATAAGTCTGGACTAGGTTGGCAATATCAAAGAAAGCATATACAGACAATGATATAAGTCTGGGCTAGGTTGGCAATATCAAAGAAACCATATAACGACATTGATATAAGTCTGGACTAGGTTGGCAATCAAAGAAACCATATAACGACATTGATATAAGTTTGGACTAGGTTGGCAATCAAAGAAACCATATAACGACATTGATATAAGTCTGGACTAGGTTGGCAATCAAAGAAATCATATAAAGACATTGATATAAGTCTGGACTAGGTTGGCAATAAAAGAAACCATATAACGACATTGATATAAGTCTCGACTAGGTTGGCAATGTCAAAGAAACCATATAAAGACATTGATATAAGGCTCGACTAGGTTGGCAATATCAAAGAAACCATATAAAGACATTGATATAAGTCTGGGCTAGGTTGGCAATCAAAGAAAGCATATAAAGACATTGATATAAGTCTGGATTAGGTTGGCAATCAAAGAAACCATATAACGACATTGATATAAGTCTGGACTAGGTTGGCAATCAAAGAAATCATATAAAGACATTGATATAAGTCTGGACTAGGTTGGCAATCAAAGAAAGCATATACAGACAATGATATAAGTCTGGACTAGGTTGGCAATCAAAGAAACCATATACCGACATTGATATAAGTCTGGACTAGGTTGGCAATAAAAGAAACCATATAACGACATTGATATAAGTCTGGATTAGGTTGGCAATCAAAGAAACCATATAACGACATTGATATAAGTCTGGGCTAGGTTGGCAATCAAAGAAAGCATATAAAGACATTGATAAACGTCTTGGCTAGGTTGGCAATCAATGATAACATGTTGTTGTTAGAATAAAAAAGGCATTGATATTTTCTTTGGTTTGTTGGGCAATCAAAGCAAACAACTCTTGCATGGTATAGCGATTCTAAGACAGGACAAGACAGCATGTTATTTGTGAAAACAAATGCGCAACACTGACTCTTCGTATTCACTTTAAACTTCTTTTCGGGTATATTTCTTCCACGTCGTACAGTCCGCGTAAATTTGAAATTGATCATTATACTAATTGACGTCATTAAATAAAAAGACCAACCACTTTTAAGAATAGCCAAGGGATTAAACGATATGTTTTCAATTAACGAAACAAGGGGCGGACATTGTCAGGTGTGATTTATTTGCGTGCAGTTAAAGTTTAAATTATTTTGACATTTACCGTCTTTGATGATAACGCTGCCTTGAGATGTGTATTTTGGTGGTATGCATTCTCCACGATGTTTTGAGAGCAGATGAAGGCGACCAGTATGACGTAAAGAAACTGTACTACCCAGCTTTTAACGAGTGCATATAACTTCTTGTCCAATTGTAGTCGGCGCTTCAGTCGCTTGGTTTCCATGGAGCAATCGTCATTGGCGTCATCGGGACAGACTATTGTGGGGTCAACGGTGATAATATGTCGTTCCAGGTCAAAGTCATCTGTAGGAAAATGTAATTGAGTACAGGACATTTTATTTAATGGAACTAAGTTGTATAAAACTGAACTTAACAGGTATGGTCTTAATACATTACAAGCAATTTATAAGATTAACAATAAATACACATTCTCTTACACGTTTTTGTTCACACTTCGGTATCGTCTTTTGTAAAGTGTAAAGTCTGTTTCCCTTTCGAAAAATATAAACGTCAACTTTAATCTTCTACAAATATGTTTGATGGAATTTATGTCATGCGAAAAAAAAGACTGATGATGATTGATGTAAAAACTGATTTTTGAGCATTTTATGCATACGTATAATATATTTATATATGGGCATGCATATATTTATGTATATGTAATTATAGCAATACACGTTTAGAAAACAGTATGCTTTATTTTTTTCACATACTGTAATAACTGAACTTAATAAACTCCAGACATTGTCTCATAAGCCTTATTTAACTGGGCATCACATTTTAAGATATTTGACTGTTTAAATGCCATTTTCCTTCATCCCCTACATGTATGACAGAACAGTTTAGGGTACATGTAAGACAAGGTGCAATACATTTCTATCTTTCACCTCGTTTCACGTGCGTGACGTCACAATGGGATACCAATGACTTGACTTCACAGAATCAGCGATATGGATATCGCGACGCAATCATGAGGAAATTGCGCAGACATTTTGTTGTTTATGATTTAATCTGGTGGCTAGTTTGACAGAGAAAAAAAATTCATGCCCCGGTTGTAGGAAAGGTTAATCCTACCCTCAGGCTTTTCAAATGATTTTTGTATTAGTTGAAAACCCTGTACAAGCCTAGGATTTTACCCAATCAAAAAACCCTCAGTCAAAATTCCCTATCCTTCACCCCTGGGCAATCTTATAATCTGAACACATATTTTTCGAATTTAAGTGAGAAAGTTCCATTGAGATAACTGTTATTCATGAAGTTTCGAAGAAATTATACAAGCATGTATCCCAATTTCATGTAAATTGCTAAGTGGCAAAAAATTAGCCATTAATCATCACAGATTTGTCAACACTTACCTTGAAAATACAATTTAAAATGGTAAAGTATTACCTTCTTGCTCGTCTTCCTCAGATGGAAGAGGTAGGTCTGCCAGCGTTTGCCGAGCATTTCTGGAACAGCAGCACGCGAGTAGCACAGCCAAGGCGATGGCCTTTAACAAAAGTGGCGAGTGACTTCACTTTTCAAGCCAAAATCATTGGTTACAAGGTGTAGCTTATCCATACCTTATAAGATCTAGTCTTTTTCGAATGCTTATAATTTAATGTGCTTAAAAATGACAACATGCAATGAACAATCATAACAAGAAATACTATAAATCGATGTATAGCATAGCCCTTTTTTTTACCCACAAGGAATTTTTGCCAGAAATATTTGACCAGATAGGCAGAAATGAGTAACAGGGGAACTATAAACTATCAGAATGAACTTGCAACTATGATAAAGTAGATAAGGAATCACAGACGGATATGTCTAAGATATCTTAAATTGTTCATTCCTGAGTGTCATATGGCCAAGTGTGTGAGTCGCACGACCAAAACGTCTTGGAAAAGAGTAGAAACAATTCAAAATAAAGGCTGAGTAAGTACAGCGTCGAAAGGTAATCGTTGGCGTTTAGGGAACCCTTTCTAATGATCTTTTTCAAATTAAGTATCCATGTCCGACTGCAGAACAAACTTTAGAGAGTTTCTCTGCAGTTTTGTGTACAACCAGTAACCCCCCTGACTGTTGTGTAGCGCCATAGCACAAGGGCATTCCTGTTGACCTGGTAGCTTAGTCGGTTAGAGAGACAGTATAATGATCTAAATGAGGTTCAAAGTTCAAATCTGGTCTGGACCAGTTGCATTTTCACACTTAGAACATTGTCGTCAATTCATTTTGTTCATTATATTTTCATCTTTTTAAGTTCTTCAAAGTATGTTTTTTAGAAATGAATCATTAAGTTAATAGCCATGTTGAAAACGAGTTTAAATACATTGGTATGGTTTATATTAGTGGTACGTGGATCCTCAAGTTGTGAATATCTAAATTATCAAGGTGTTTTTGCTTCGCGGTATACATATTATGATCATAATAAAGATGACCCACTTCATATTTCTAGTGGTTATATTATTTTGTTCATAAGTAGTTTTGTTACGTAAGGATCCCTGTACTACCGCCAAAATCTCGCTTTGAAAACTCATTTCTGAAAGGAAAATTATTCTTTTCAGAAAGTTTATTTCTCTATATATAAAAGTGTTAAGATGGAATAAACGAAATAAATATAAAACAATATTCTGAGTGGAAAAAGAGAAGGTTTCGAGCCATGGTTCTCAGATCATTATACATACTAACCCTGTAACTGATTGAGCTATCCTGGTGCAATCGCTCTTTAGCCATATCAAGAACAAAATCAACGAGAGATAATTGTATGCACAAAGAAGTAAACTGGATCTTTTTTAATAATTTGTCTGGTTTGGCAGAGGGTTCCCCAAGGGCAAGAATTTAATACCGAAAACTTTACCTTCACAGGTTCAAAGACGAAGACGCTCTCCACCGTTCCGAGGAAAAAGGCAAGCAGCCACTCTACAGTTAGGTCCGTCCCCCAGTCGAGGGAGTACATGAATGTAAAGAATCCACCGGACCCTATACATGCCACGATTAGAGAATATCCGAAAAAGATGAACCACCAGGGAAGCGAGGTGGGGCCAGAACAACACCTGAAACAACATCCACAACAGCACCGCTTCTTTTTCGGTGCACCTTTGCTGGAAAACTGGACCACCTGCTCGCCCTTAAATCGTCGATGTTTGAAGATATTGATGATAATAAGACTCGGTATTACTGCTATTGCAGCAGACATGAAGCCAACATAAAATTGTTTGTAGCTGAGTTTAAGCGGTCCAAGTACTATGACGCGTCCGCCCTGATCCGGGGTATTGTAGAACATGGCTGAAGCCACCATCGACAGATACAGGAGAGCGGTAATGGACCACAGTCTCTGAACACGGGTGAACCGACTGTAGTTTGGTCGCTTGGACAGGGAAAACCATAAGTTATCATCAAACATGTTACGCTTGCTAGTTTCATTAAGAAGCATCTGGCTATCCATCAGTTTTTCATCAAGCGCGTCCATTTTCTTCCACGTTTTCCCGTCTTCGCCACCAAGTGATAGCCATTTTCCACAGACGAATACATATCTAAAATACACACACGAAAACAATATTATAATTCATATATTCTGCCCAATCAGCGATTCAAATAATCTTGTTTTGATCAATTATCAAGACTGCTAGGCAGTGCTAAATTATCATCAAATAAAGTTCTGATTGGTAACGTGTAAAGTCTCTTATGGAACAAAATGGTGGCGTCACAATTAAAAGAAAAAGTTTCATCACGGAAACACTTTAGCTATGAACTTTTTGCAAAATTAATTAATTTTAATCATAACATATCATGCAATGTCTTTTTCGCATTTTTCAAATACCTTTTTGTTTGCGATGATTTTTCCCGCTTTTTCAAATAACGTTTCCGTTGTCTAGATAAATGTGTGATATCTTGTTGCATTTAGTTTAAACAGTATTTGTTGCTGATACAGTACATTATATTTACAATACATCATCAGCAACAATTCGGAAACAAGTGTTAAGTACTTATACAATGTCTGTTTAGTTATACTTGTATATATAATACTGACAGCTTTTGCAAATAGTAATGTTTATTCTTATCAAATTCTGACGGAAAAAAAGAGTAAATCATTTTTTAGATACGGCGCATATAGAACGATAAACACTAATACACAAATGTATATAATAAAAGACTATCATTTTCAAGTCTAATGCATTATTGAAAAAAACATTTGTAACTATGCATGTTTATATAATATAAACAAGAATACTCCCTTACGAGTTAATCATACTGTTAGAGATCCTCTATAACAGTAATTCATTATACTGTTAGCAGACATATGATTTTTACAAAATGTTGGGGAAGATGATACGATGGTATTTTCACAGATAAATTGTATTTTTTCCCTGAGATGGTTTATCTTGATTGCCTTACCTTCGGTTATTTCTGATGTCGCCAATTACGATTTTGCTGAGCAGCCAGCCGGCTGAAGGTCCCGTGCTATTGTGCCACACCACCACGTTCTTCAAATGTCCGAGTTGAGTAGTGGTCCTCATCACAAAATGGGACGTCGTTCCTCTTCCGAAATTCTGTAAACAAAATTACAACAGATATGCCTGTTCATTTAACAAACAAATAGATGCAATTTGATTTTAATTTTGTACAAAAATAAGGTTACAATGGACAATATCTGAAGAAAATCTATGAAGCAAATTTTGCAACCTGTTATACAAATAAGTAATGTATATACATGTATATGTAATGAAGTTATTTTACTCGGACTAGTTTTATGTGAAGTCGTGCGCATTCGTATTCCATCATATGGTTGGTATTGTGGTTAATTTATTGTGCAATTGGTATTCTTTACGATGCTCTTGCCCAAGATTATATCTTTTTTAGTCCTGTGTTCTGACTGGTTAGTATTCATGATCAGTTTGGCGGGAATATCGTTGTGTCATTTTTGATTGGTATTGTGATTAATAATTGTGCAACTTGCAAAATGGTAATCAATGTGATGTTCATGTTCCCACGCGGTGTTTGTGTTGTAGTTCTTTGTTCTGATTAGTCAGAAATTATCATCAGTATGGTCATTGTGGTCTTTTGCTTGGCGGCTTGCCTTGATTTTTATCCCCTCGGATTACGGTATTGGTGGCACAAACAACATTGTTCATAGTCTCCTGAAGAGTGCCGCAAGCATCAGCAATGCAGTGTTGTAAGTGATGTTCTTTTCGAGGGAACAAAGCCAGCTTCTCTTTCGCTCTATGGAAGTTTCTGCCGATTAATTCGGAGTCCTTGGAGATTTGTTTTGTCATATTCCATGCAAACGTTGCTAAAGAGTCATTGTACAGGTAATCTGCATGGGCCTCTAGATTAAGGATTGCGTAACCACCACTTCTGCATTGGGCCGTAGACTGTTAAATCCTTCGGTAAAATGATTTCCTCTAAACGTCTTCTTTGGTCTATGGTGGCTGTCAGTCGTTCCAAAGTTCTCAATTGGTGGGTCTAGTATGAAACGTAAGGGTGTCCCCTTTGTGTTTGTTTTTGCGGCGTACTTTGATACAATTCTGATTTCAAGACAGACACCAATTCTTAAACAATGTACTTTCTGATTATAGATAGTTATGACCAATTACTGTAGTTGTCTAATAAATTATTTGCAAAGTCCGCTCATTTTCAAATTCGGCCTATCAAAATGTCAAAACATCTGGTAATATTTTTTTTCCGGATAAATTTTGAATCATTTTCTGCCAAAATTTTACTTTATGCAAAAAAGATGTACGTATTAAAAGTGTCGCAACGTTTGAAGACCGACTGGACCCTTTGTCAAGCTATAATTGAGTGAGCGATTTGTATTTTTTACCTGTTCAACAATAGGACGAAATTGTATATATCAAATGTCACTCGACCCGGGACGACTATGATTGGAGAGTGTATTACATACACTGTATACTATATCATTTTCATGATTCTACACTTGCATAGGATACATATTTTTTATGTGGTCGCACCTGTGACCTTGACCTACAGACTTACCTTTCTTATTCCGTCCGTTAGTTGTCGGATACCCGTTTCTCCTTTATCTCCAACAACTTTTATATACACGGTGGAGGACAGGTGTCTCGATGATCGAATGGCGGTTGACACGGCTATGTAGTACTTATGCTCAGCACCCGGCAAATTGTCCTCTAAGGGCAGATAACTCCACTGGAAAATACCCAACTTATATATATATACTACAAATATTACAAAAATATCTTTAAAAATGAGTTTTTTTTCCGTGTTTGTGGTTATACGTCTGAAAAAGCTTTGAAACGAGTTATATGAACAATGAATGGACATTAAAGGAAAGTATTATTGCGTCAAGCAGGAAATACACAGTGTAAGGACACGGATCATGATTCCTTTAAAATTTGATATTGTTTATAATACACTTTTTCACTGGTTCGTGTTTACAGTTTATCAAGTTGTAAACCGAAAAAAGAGAACATATTTTGATGACGTCGTACCCCGCAAAAATAGTCATCTGTCACACTTTTGTAGAACAGATAACACAGAAATATTCGCATAGACTAGCAAAGATCTATACATGACCTTATAACCGTCATTTTGATTTATCAACATAAGAATTATTGCGCAATTCATAGTATTATTGTTTTTGTTGTTAATGAAAAAGACACACATTTTATTTAATAGAAGTTCTCCTTTCTTATTTTAGAATTAAATCATAAAGATTAGGCAAAATAATAAACTGTTACACACATCGACATATAGACCGAAAGCTGGAGTGCACTCTTTACATAAAAAAAGGAAGTTCGGAAGGAAAATATAGAAAGATGACGAACATCGCGGCATTAACTCAGCTAGGATCTATAAATACGTTTTCACCGAGCGCATCATTTGTGTATACCGAAAAAAAGAGTGCACTTCGGTTATTCGGTAAGTATAATTATCTATAGACCAGTTTATCATCTAGTCCAATACAGTATTAGACATGGATCTTGATAAAACTCGTACAGTAGTTTGTATGCAATGTCCTATACTACTGCGACAATTTTTTACAGTTATAAGCAAAATATCGGTAATATTTAAACTTACTAGCAAGACCTAACTGTTACTGTCTTATATTTACCAGCACTGCGTCGCTCTTGTCCAGTCGACGTAAGGGGATGGCGATGATGACGACGATTACCCAGATACCACAGATACAAGCCAGCGCGTGAGGTGTTTCCTTCAACCTCTCCGAGAAGTTCAGGAAGATAGAAGCGAAATCAATTGTATCTGGTGCCACGAACATTATGTCGGCCGAGAATGTCCCAAAAAAGTTGCTCTTATAAGCTATGTTAGTCCCGGATCCAGAGGAGAGCTATGCAACAAGATAATTAATAATTATATGTATGACCTTGACATTCTAAAGCAGAATTGTTTCAACTTTAATAGCAAAGAAGAGTTTTATTTTGCTTAGATATTTTTTCACCACGAATGTTCTTTCCTGACTTGAAGAAATTTCTCCTGCAAAGTTATGTAAAGGTCATGGTCACAACATGTGTGTGTGTTTCCATGATAACAATAATTACAAGAATTGCATGTGTTTTACGTCATGCTTTCAATTCGTATGATACGTCAGGATCACATCATGTATAATACGTCACGATCACAAATTGTTTGTGATTGACGTCATGATCAACCTGTTTATTGCAACACGCTCTATAATAAGTTCTGTTCAAAACGCATGTATGATGTCATCATATCTAAAATACGATGACGTAGTTAGAACCTACCTTAATGTCGTCACTGACTACCCACAAGGCCGTATCTGGATCGAACCTCCTTAGGTCTACTTCCACGATACTATACTGGTGAGGCGTGACCAATCCCGGGGGTGCCAGCGCTAGGACAAGCATATCAATGGGAAATATTATTTTCTATTTATCCAGCATCGGTGTGAAAGTTCCTAAAATAGTCCAATCATTTACAGGTAACGGATGTTGTAACATCTTGGAAAGAAAACAAAACCTTAGCCGGGTTAAGGAATTTGTCAACAAAAATATCTTGTTTTGATAAAACATGGATCACTTGCACATTTGGAGATCATGCAAGACATTATTTTCTCAGGATACCTTTCCCACTGCACTGTATTTCCTATACTGTTTGGTGGTTTTTTTTGTGTGTTTTACGTCCTATTAACAGCTAGGGTCAATGAAGGACGTGCCAGGTTTTGGTGGTAGAGGAAAGCCGGAGTTCCTGGAGAAAAAGCAACGACCTATGGACAGTGTCTTGCGACTGTCCCACGTAGGCCCCAAAATCGCGACCCTGTGGTGGAGGGCTAGAGGTAGCAGAATGTCAGACGCCTTAACCACTTAGCCACCGCGGCCCCTTTTTTCCTATATTCCCCTAAACTTACGTTTGGATATATCTGTATAACAGTTGGGTTCGGAAACTTCCGATGGCGAGGTAGCTCAATCGGTAAGAGCGATAGTATTACAGTCTGTTGCCCAGGGTTCGGATCACGGTCAATTGTCACCACAAAACACCATTAACCAGTACACGTTATATTTTGTTTATTTCATCATTTTTATTTCCTATTAAAGTCCCACAAGATATAGTTTCTTTTCAGAAATGATTTATCAGGGTTATAGTCATGCCAGAAAAAACAACTGTTTCCAACACTTTGTTACAGGTTTTGACAGTGTTACGGGGATCCTTACCTAAAAATGTGTAAAAATTATCAAATTAGTCTGCGTAAGCACATATGCATCATTTTGACGTTTGTAACCCGTTAAATTCCTATTGGTATGAGATGGCATGCGATATCGACAACCTATACGTTTATATTTCTTCCTTTTTCATTTTTACAATATGTTTTGTTTTAATATATATACATTTAAATTTGCAGCAGAGAATAAAAGACATAACTCACTTGTCGGGCCAGCTGCACGTTTTCGGCGACCTAAATCACCATCTGATAAGGAAACGAAAATTATTATTCATAAGAAAGATTCGTACGGAGAAAAGGAACTCAACTCAAAAAATATGAATTAATCCAATGGGTGACATTATAAATAAGAATCATCAGAAGACCTTACAGTTTCATTACGTATTCAATTAGATTTAAGCAAAGTTTTGTAAAAGCATGCCAAACGAATCGGACTCGGCGTCTGACGAAGACAATGATATATGCAACAGTCAGTTTTCTGATGTATTAGGTATCACACAACTAAATCAGCCGATCAGGAAGTGTTTCACGCGATTGTAATCCCTACCTTAAGCTTTTTCCGAATAAATACAGTGTCTCTGAGTAATTTAAATGGGTAGTTGTTGACATATTTCACTTTGAAGGACATTTACAGATATTTTACTGAAGAAAAACGTGTAGTTTTAAAAGATTTTAATATGTGATGGCGGAATAATGTGGAGTCATAAATCAAGGGTAGGTTTCGTCCCACTTCACCGGTTTGGCTTGTAAATTTCCGGTTGTTAAAATCATGTAGCGCTCTTATATGCCATCAAAACCGCCAAAAATACCCTTCAAAGCATTTGTCAGGTATGTATCTATGAATCAAGACAGTTGTCACTAATGTTGAAATTCAAATATTAAAGCTATTAGCACAAAATATTTAGTTGTGTGAGTCCTATTATTAGCATTATAAGTAATTATACCTTCACATTTGACGACCATAAGGATTGGATTCGCCAAGGCCTCCCCTTCTTCCTTGTAGGTGTGGGCAATCTGTAACGTCTGGTCGCTAAATGTGTGAACTAGGTCATCTGGTCGGTACATTTTAACCCTACTGAGTCCCTTGGTCTCAACACGGATATCGAAATCTTCCTCTGTAGGGAAAGAGTTTGGACCAAACTTTCCAAGCGTAACGCATGTTTTTTTACTCATCAGGTTGATATCGATGGTAAATCCGACAATGCTGTAGTTGAAAGCTATGATAGCGTTGAAAGCCCCTTCTGTTGTTTTTGATGGGTCCATCTCCCTCGAGAGAACACCGGTATTCAGGGCGTTTTTGGCCTCCGCACGGAGTCTCACGGGGTCCTCGGGGTCAGGCAAGGTCAGTTCTTCACCCTTTTTGTCAACGATGACCATTTTGATGATTCCAGTGTTGATGGCGTCGGTGTTGTTAGCAAATATGTAAGGACTGTACTTGTATGTTACTACCTACAAATAACAGTATTTCTTTTAATTACAGATATACAAAACAAACAAAAAAGTGTTACTTTAGACGGAAACAGACAGCAATGCTGCAAGCCAAACCTGCCGAAGAGACCACCTCTATTAAACACCACCTGTGTTAACTTGTCAACATTTAAGTAGTACTATTTTTGTAAAAAGCATTTGTGTTCAAAGAATATCTGCAGAAAGGTAGTTATGTCCTCGCGTCACCACACAGTAGAAACAATGGCTTTATGTTCCTATTTAATTTGTATTACACGTATTTATCCTGCGTTGATATTGTTTCAATAAAAATAAATGTCAGTTTTCAGTTTGAGTTAGAATTGGCGATTAGTATTAAAAAATCGTTGAATATAATTTGTGCTGGATTTATTGATGTTTTAACTGCTGGGGTTTCATATTTCCGCCGCTTTCAGCTCGGGTCATATGAAACAAACTAAGGCAAGTAATATGGACCTATTAAGAAAAAGGAGTTGCTAACACATAGCTAGTGGGGTTTAGTAGTACAGGATTGCTGACACACACACTTGACGTTTGCATGAGAATTATCCCTGTAGTACTTACGACAACGTTAGTTTCCTTGCCCTTGATGGTCTCCTGGAATGTTTCCCAGTAAGGCAGAAGAAACTTGCCGTACTCAGCATGTATAGTTTCTGGCAGCTCATCGCCCTTGTCTTTTGCCACCGCCACCGACATGTTGCCGTACGTGTACCAACTCTCACGAGATTTAGATTTGTCGTTAATCAACATCAGTTTCAGCATATCCAAAGTGGCTGTTTCAGAATCAATGATGGCAAGCTCGGCCTGGTTAGACCAAACATTTTGGTTTTATTATGACTCAATAAAGTATCTTTAATGGGATATAAGTAGAAACATAATTATATATCTCAGTGTTTAATGTTATACTTTGACGAACCACGGTAGTAGAGTTTGATATTATATATTGAAGTATCGTGGAGGTGGTTTCGGGTATGGTCTAATGATTTCCTATGTGAGATTGTCGAGTATGGTCTTATGACGAACCTTTTTGATCAAATCATTATGTATTTTTTGATATTGTCGTGTTTGTTATCGTGATGTACCTCTGTAATTTTATCGGGTATGATCTAATAACGTACCTCTTCGGCGATTGTGATGCATCCTACGGGTGGAACCGCGCCGTCGATTGAACAGCTGAGAGTCATACAGTGGTAATGAATTCGGCTCGTTAGGTACACATACCCTGGTATACAAAAGAAAAAAATGACTATATTGCATACATAATATTATCACTGGTCGGGAAGGCTGAATATATAAATAATTTTGAAATCCGGAAATACCGGCAGTCATCAGTAAAAACATTATAATGTACCTTATTAAAATTTCTCGACAGCCGTCCGTTTTGTAATAAAGAACGGGAGTTTCGACTTCCGGGAGAAAAACAAAACACGAGAATAGAGGTGATCATATGTCAAATACGTTTTGAAAGTTTGTCCATTATCCATGGAGAATGGGCTTACAATAATGTACAAGATGACAGTTGTATCTTGATTAACTCAATGACCCATTTAATACTAGTATTTGCATAGGGTTACTTATTTACTTCCCAACGCACGCTATCGTATTCGGCAACTCTTGAGGAATCGGTGTTTTTCTTCTCTGTCTTCCGCTTACGGTTTGGTTTGGTTTGATTTAGTATTGTTTAACGTCTTATCAACAGCTATGGTCATTTAAGGACGGACTCCCCTGTGTGCAAGATGCATGCGTGTAGTGTATGCGTGTGTGTTTTGGGAGGCTGTGATATGTTCGTGTTTGTCTCCTTGTGATAGCACGGAACTGATGCCGAATATGTAGTGCTACCTAACTAAAACATACTGCCGAACACACCCAGCAGGACACCCCACCCGGTCGCTTTATACTGACAACAGGCGAACCAGTCGTCCCTCTCCTAAATTGCTGAGCGTTAAGCAAGAGTACAACCTTCCAATTTTTACAGACTTTGGTATGTCTCGGCCAAGGGACAGACCCCAAATCCTTCCTCACAGGGGCGAACGCTCAACAAATGGCCAAAAGTGAGGCATTGTCAAGGGAGACATTAGGAAGAAGAAAGTTGTTTAAAAAGAAGAGAAAAGATAATATCCCATTAAGTCGCTTACGGAAGAAACCGAAATAAATTTGCTGCTCCAATTGCTTAGGATTTGTGGGATTTGTATCTTGTTTTCTTGGGCATCCGTTCTCGTTAACCGCCTCACAAACAATCAGGGTTTACTACATCCTTTCACCACAGCCTCAGTGTAATTGTTTACAAAAACATCGATACAAGGAATGTGATAGAACGCAAACAATGCATGTATATAACCATCGCAAAGCTTATGAACATATTTATCTTTGCTGACATTTTGATACAAAAATAAAAGGTAACATTGGCGAGATCTTAAGAGGGTGGCAAACATTACAAGGCATTAGAAGGACCAATATTTACAAATACTATAAGGTTAGAAAAAGACGGGTAAACATTTTCAGACGAGGAATGAGATTCCCAAGTTTGGTATGAATGATATTTATACTAGGTTGTTACGAAAACCAACAGTAATTCAAAACGTCAGTTTCCTTTGCCAAGATGATGAAACGTGTAAATTTAGAAGGCGAATTATCAGAAACAGAATTACTCTTTGCATTTAAAAATATGAAAAACTCTAAATCACCCGGTTTTGATGGTTTCACTAGTGTTTTTTTTTTTTTTTTTGGAATAATTTAAAATATTTTATTATCAGAGCATTGAATTTTGGTTATAATAAGGGGGAGCTATCAATTACACAAAGACAGGGTATTATCACCTGTGTTCCCAAAGGAGATAAAGTTAGACATTTTATTAAAAATTGGAGGCCGATTACTTTATTAAATGTTATATATAAACTTGCTTCAGCTTAAAAGCTTGAATAGCCAACAGACTAAAAACGGTTCTTGATTTTATTATTTCAGACACACAAACAGGTTTTTTAAGTGGAAGATATATTGGGGAAAACACCAGACTTGTTTACGACATTATGAATTTTACTGAAATAAACAACATACCAGGACTTTTAATATTTATAGATTGCGAAAAAGCCTTNAAAAAACAATAAAAATATCAAGGGCATTACAATCCAACAGAAAGATCATAAGCTCTCACAGTTTGCAGATGATACCTCAATAATTTTAGATGGATCTAGAAACTCATTCAACGAAGCACTGAATGTTTTAGATTGCTTTGGTAAAACATCGGGACTAAAAGTAAATAATGATAAAACCAAGGTGATTTGGATTGGCAGCAAGAAATTCAGTGCAGACGTTTACCATCATAGATGGAAACTGAAATGGGGAGAAACAAAATTTAATATGCTAGGGGTTTATTTTTCAGTTAATCTAGATGAGGTTGTAACTTTGAATTATACCTCAGTTCTTAAAAATGTCAATAAAAGTATAAGCCAGTGGTCACGCAGGATTTTAACACCTCTTGGTCGGATAGTTGTATCAAAATCAATCATTATACCAAAATCATCTTTTCATATTTGTTCCTACACCCGACACTAATTTTATTCAACTGTTGAACACTACTTTTTTCAATTTTATTTTGCAATCACCAGCCGACAAAATTAAAAGAGACACTATAGTCCAAAGCTATGAAAATGGGGGTCTAAAAATGATTAATGTCAGGAGTTTTATAACATGCCTTAAGTCTACATGGATAAGAAGATTACTTAAGAATAATGATAAATGTTGGACAAATATTTTTAAAGCAGAACATTTTCCCACCATCAACATATCAGATTTTGGTACTGACTTTATTAAAAATGTTAAGACCAAAAATGCTTTCTGGAAAAATGTTTTTCAGGCATGGGTAGATATTTCAGAAGAAACACAAATGCAAATTAAAAATATTGAGCAGTTTCTTACTTTTCCTATATGGTATAACCCAATTTTCTGCATTGATAACAGGTCTTTTTTCATTAAAAAATTGGTTTGAGAAGGGTGTTAAAAATGTGTGTGACCTACTGGACCTAGATAATTCTTTTCTAACCTTTGCAAACTTTAAACTAAAATTCAATATCGATTCAGAAAACTTCTTAATTTATCAAAGTATATGCCAATCAATTAAGCAAAGATATAGACAATTTAACTTTAATTTAACTGCTGAAAACATTGTTGAAAGACCATTTATACCACCCCATATCAATGTAATTATGAAAAGCAAGAAAGGTTGTAAAGACATGTCTGTTACCGAGAATAATAAAAATAAATGTGCGAATACAGCTGAAATAAAATGGAAATCAAAAGAAAGTTTTAGAAACATAGACTGGAAACGATTGTATAGCATTCCTTTTAAAAGTACAACGGATACAACACTACAGTGGTTCCAGTATCGGTTACAAAATCGCATTCTCCAACTGAATTATTACTTGAAAACTATTGGTGTTATGAACAATAACCTTTGTGTAATACAGAAATTGAAACTATAGAACATATTTTCCGGGAATGTCCTCATTCTTTCAGACTTTGGCAAGATTTAAAAAACAAAATATACCACAACTTCGATAAATTAATTGATTTTAGATTAGAAACAGTATTATTTGGAGAGACAAAAAGTGTTGCCTTACCAATTAACTTTATTATCCTTTATGCAAAATATTATATATAGTCTGTATCAAGAAAAAAACAAAGACTCGGGTTAGATGGTTTGAGTGAGTTTCTAGCAATCCGATATAACATCGAAAAAAATTGAGCCTCAAAAAATGTACGCAACGAAAGATTTGATCAAATATGGTTTGAATGGAAAGATATTTTTTAACAGATTGAAAAAACAAGTTTAAACAATCCATACATCTTTGTACCTTTTTGTGGTGAAATACTGTAATCCGATAAAAATAAAACTGCATATATCCGGTATGTTATGG